TCAGTACGTTTTGCTTATATGGCTGTAAATATGGCGTCAATTTTAAGGCATCATTGATAATTGTATTTTAATTGGCAATTTTTAACTGTTATTTTATGTTTCTCAACCGGCAGATGCATTTATTAAAAAGGTTGCTAACTCCATAAACTAGAAAATAAAGCTAAAACAAAGTAATTTTGAGAGGAACGCCAAAAACATTTTAGGTTTTGAACACTTTTCATTGCAAATACGTGACATTGAAAAAAATTGCCTCTTAATGATTTAATAATGATTTTGAGTAATGACCTAATTAATGATCTTGCGTAAGGACCTGTTAATGATTCTGACTAATGACTTAATAATGATCTTGACTAATGACTTAATAATGATCTTCACTAATGACTTAATAATGATTTTGACTAATGACTTAATAATGACCTTCATTAATGACTTAATAATGATTTTGATTAATGATTTAATAATGATTTTGACTAATGACCCAATAATGATCTTAACAATAAGGACCCGTTAATGATCTTGACTAATGACTTAATAATAATCTTGACTAATGACCTAATAATGATTTTAACTAATGACTTAATAATAATCTTAACTAATGACCTGTTAATGATCTGGTCTAATGACTTAATAATGATTTTGATTAATGATTTAATAATGATTTTGACTAGTGCCCTAATGATTTTGACTAATGACTTAATAATAATTTGACTAATGACCTAATATTGATTTCAACTAATGACTTAATTATAATTTTAACTAATGACCTAATATTGATTTTAATAATCTTGACTAATGACAATAATGATCTTGACTAATAATGACCTTGACTAATAATGACTTGTTAATGTTCTTGATTAATGAACAAATAATGATCTTGAATAATAATTTAATAATGATTTGGATTAATGATTTAATCAATAACAATTTTGACTAAGTCTAAGATGATTCAACTACCTGCGAAAGCCTTTCATTTCAGTTATAGTGTGGGTGCAGGGGATCATATGTTTTTACTAATGAATTCAACTGAAGACAATCGCGGAATTAAACTATCATTCACTTGTACATACAAGCACATGTAAGCACCTAAAATTTTCCGACCTACGTATAACTAACTTCCAGACGCTTTCCTTGATACGTCGAGCTTTGTTCTATTTGTGAGGTAGTTGGAGCAGATTGTACTCTTGCTACTTAGTCCACCTACACTGGCACCCAACATTCAATATATTTCTATTTGGGGCGTTTTTTAGCAAACAAATAACAAACACTATATTTTTGCCCAACTAACCAATAGCAATGTTTTAGGAAAGTCACCTATATCCGTGACTGCCACTGACTGGAACAATAAGGTAAATTGGACTGAATTGTTATTGGTGGTTTTGGTGAAAATACAATGCACACGTGACGGTGAAGGACCATAGATATGAATAAACGTTGACTAACATTATGTAACATAGATAATGAATTATATTGTTATTCTAATGAGTTTTCAAACCATCTATTAATATTCTATTAACTATGCAGTTGCGCTAAGCCCTTTACGATGAATCTATAGACAGCCCGCTGACCCGCAAAAGCTTGACAGGCACGTCATAATAGCATCATCGTAACAAAATGCGTTAATATTCATAAAAAGACACATTAATAATTCATGATTCATGAAGCGGAAAATACAAAAGAAGTGAATGTTTAATCAAGGTTTGTAAATCGGATAAAGATTTGTCCTGATTTACATAAACGTCAGCTTTGATTTTCTCGGCCTAGACAATGTTTATTAAGCACGTTAAAACATTCCCATCTGATCTTTATCTGATATACAAACTCGAACCGAATTCGAGAGTTTGTATTATTTTAATATTAGATAAAGATCGGCTGCTCATGTTTTAACTGGTACACATGTACAATCGGCAAAATTGTTGATGACTATATAATTACCCAGTTTTCTGTAGATATGCACTTGTTGCAGTAAAATAAAGTGTTCTGAGCATAATAATATACACAGCAATATTGCAATAAAATTTGCCCTTTTTTCGCTTTCGCGAAGACTGTGCTTCAGCCACTTTCAACAATAGTAAAAGAGGTTATGGATTAACACTATACTGAATTATATTCGGGTTACATTATGTCTTCTCATTGATCGCTCGTTTATTTTTACCATGGTTTGTTTGTAGACTGTCCACACATGCATTAATCATAATTCCTCCTTGACCCAGCTTCAGCGCTAGCTCTATCCTGTTTACCAATTTATTACTTTTTAGCGCTGCATGGGGTACCTGCGACGATAGGTATGCCAATTTCCGGTGTATGACACAAAAATTAATGGAATCTTGATTCCACTGGGGCCAGTTGTTCCAAGATGGATTAGCGCTAACCCTCGATTAAACTTTAACTTGCTGTTTTAGTTTAGTTATGCACGTCTGTTTATTTCAAAACTTCCGAGAAGAAAACTCCTATTGATTCCGACAAGATTTTAAAAGAAATATTTCCAAATTTATAAACAATTAATTAGCTGTCGGGAAATTTGCATTGAATTTTAGGTTAAGTTAACTTAGGGTTAAGCAAGCTTTGAACAACTGGCCACTGATTTATAAGTATCTATCTATGACCATTGGAACACCACATTTTTAAAGATACTGTACAATCAGGCTCGTATTCAGCCGCAAATTTTCGACTGTATAGCATGCGTTTTCAAATAAAAGTAACTGTGATAATAGCAGTGCTTGCATGATATTCTACAATTTCTTTCTCCAACGTTCTGGATCGAGAACGTAAACATTGTTTTTTTTGTGTTTCCAATAAAGCATATTAATAAACCGCACACGTACAAAATATGGTTTGAGCCTTCCAGGTTGTTTTACAAATAGCCTTTGCAAAATCATTATTTTCGAAAATGGAAACTGACGCCCTATTCCGTTAAACTTCATCTGCATGAGACGCAATACTATAATATATAACATCCAATTTAAATTTTTACTGCACTTACAGCCAGATTTAATATTGCCGAGCGATTGAGCGAATAACAAAATCGTTTTTACAATGTCTTACATCAGTTACATGACTCAATTTTCGAGAAAACAAACGGGCTTTTCTTACGTTGGTATACTATTTTAGTACATATGCAAAGCGAATTAATATGATGAAACAACTAACGAATTAAGTAGAGGTGATGGCAAGCAGGCCATATTATTAATGCTTATGATTTCTACGTCTAGTCCCAGCGAATTATTAACGCTCTACAGAGCGTCTTGTTGTATCAGGTCTTTATAGGAGGTTGACAGTTTCGCCGTGTATTATTTTGCCGAGGTCAAGGATGAAAAAATTAGGCGTATTTTGGTAAGAATGAGCGCGAATATACTTTTGAATAAACTTTTTAGCCCTTGTTTAAATAGCGAAATATACATTCATTTGATTTGTATCAATTAATACGCGCTAAATTGAGAAATAAATTTCAAAGAATGGGTAATCACAGTTTCGGTGATCCCTCGTGGATGAAATATCGTACGCTATATAATTAAGTCATACTAGTTCTTATGTTTCAAACTTGCAATTTCTTTCGTAAATAGATTTTTATTGTATTTTGATTAGAATAGGTTTATAACAAATACTGCGGACAAAATTTTCGGTTGCATACGTATATACGTACCCTCCTTTCCGTATAGCGGTATAGGTATATGTTGCAGTGCAGCAAAATTTTGTGGTCAATATACTAGCTAAATTGAATAATAAATGTAAGAGAAAGGGGGAACTCAATAATGAGCAGTTTTTATTTCTTTTATTTCAATTTGCGACGGGGAAAAACTATATATCAATGCTACAACAATCTCAATGACAATTTCAAATCAAGTTACATGCAGTATTAGTACAAGCCACAACTGTTTATAATATTATGCACCGATCACCCGTTGACAAACGCAATCAAAGGTTTCCACGCTTGCTTGACTGCCAAAAAAGCGCACTTTTTGCACAAACAACTTAATTAGTAAATTGTGAACGTTCCAATCTATATATTTTTTACGGCATATATATAATTAGGGTTGACTATGTCGCGAACTCATTCACGCCACAGTGAAAACAAAAACAAGCTGCACTATGAAGTACTTCACAATAAATTAAAGAAAAGCATGCTTTCGCTATTTCTACGCCGGATTCGAATAATTTAATATGTGTTTGTTTTTGTTCTACTGCGTTGCTCATTTGCCGCTGCGTTGCTGATTGTTGTTAGTTATTTCGCATTAATTTCGTATTTCTTAATTAACAATAAAATTCTTATGATACATGTAACACGGCGTTTTGCCAGTAAACAATTCCCCTCAATTATGATACATGCTATAGGCCGCCGACTGGTCATGCTGTTGATTACAGTGGATCAAATGCAAAACAAGTGAAACTCCAAAAATCGATAACATTTTTATTTATCTACGTTTCTACTATATCTTTCAGTCATCATCAGGATAAACTAAACTGAGTTGATGATGATGATGATGATAACAATATTTAATCAGGGACGTCCAACTCAGCATAGCTGGTTTAAGTGGAGCCCTGAGTTCATCCTGAGGATGACTGAAATATAGTCGAAACGCAGATAAATAAAAATGTTATCGATTTTTGGAGTTTCACTTGTTTTGTATTTTGTTAAAATACTCAGTGGTTCTAGACATTTGCCAAGTTATATCATTAGGTTTCACTTTCATTTTGGGCGCTAAACCATTTAGGATATGACATACAGAAATTATATATAACAAAAAAATTATAAATTATATATAGCAGAACATTTCGAACTCCTGAGCAAATTTGTCATTACATTTGTCAAAGGAATACATACAACTGTATTTACATAAGTTGTATTAATTCAAAAAACCCGTAATATACGCGCAATTTTCTCTGGCCAGTACATGACGGCTGACCGCGCGCGGTCAAGTTACCTCGTTTTGAAAACAATGGGAGATTGCCCGCTTTGAAGCCCCTGGTGGTCCCCTTCTCTAAACCCATGCCAGAAAAGGTGCTCTATTTTCAGCAATAGGTTAATTCCACTCATATTTAGTTGGGCGCTAAAACATCATAACTGGTTGGTTGTCTCTCGTTGATAAAATGTCCTACGCCATAATTAAGCCATATAGTGCTTTTGTCTCAAACTTGCAATTTCGTTTGTAAATATTTTATATCATTAGAATGGGTTTATAACAAATGTATAATTTTGTTGCATGTATACACTTACCCGCCTTTCCGTAGATATGCATTTGTTGCAGTGAAGCAAAATACGGTGTGCGTGTACAGTAATATTGCAATGAAATTTGCCATTAATGTTCCTTGCTGAAGACCACGCATTAAAGACTGTCAACAATAGTATAAGAGGTGGAGATTAAACTACTCAATGATATTTGTTTCGTTATATGCATTCTCATTGGTCGTTCGTCTATTTCCTTATTGGAAAATGCACAGATTATGTAATATGAGTTGAGAGGCTCACATACCGTATTTACTCGTTAAAGCGCCGCCCTCAGTTGAACGCTACCCCCTATTAAGGATGGCCCTGTACCGGGTTCCGAAATACCGCCATCCCAACCAATTTTCACTTCAAATCCCGTTATCCCACATTGGCTCATCCCAATTTCCCGCTCCCAACTTTTTTAGTCTAACACTGTTCAACGTATGATTTAGATGTAGACAATAGATAACCAAGTATTAATTTAGTAAAGACAGGGATTATAACCAAGTATTTAGTAAATACGATTTGAATACACCAAAATACAATACAACAAAGTTTGAAATAATACTGGAGTAATAACTCTACATCGCAACTCTTTTGAAAGCCGCAATCCGGCATGCATGTAAATCGATATCATCCTTGACCTTGAAAACAGTAAATTTCGACCTCACAATTAACATTGTTAATTTATCCCGCTAATCGTGGATAACTTCCCCGCATATCGCCATGCGTGGTATTTTTATTAATTCCACTTCCCGCGATGGAATAAAATTCCGCTTCCCGAACAATATTTCTCATAAAATCCTGAATCCCACTTCAATTTTAGACCCATCCCGCCATCCTGCAAAACCGGTGACAGGCCCCTCATTAAGCGCAGCATATGTGAACAAAATTATTCAAGAGCGCCGCCCCCGAAAAAGCGCCGCACTTATTCACAAGTCACAACAACGCGGCGCTTAATCGAAACACTATCTGAAGAATTGCTCGTGACGCCCAACCGCGGAAGGAAAACACTTTTGGTCGAGGTTACAATCTTTAACAAACCTCGGAACTTTTACTCCTGCATTTCAATGCTTTCATGGTCAATTTCTTTAATAATAATTTCTTGTTATCGCCACAAATAAATTATTTTATAAAGAGCGCAGCCCTGGAACAAGTGCCGCCCTTAAATAAGTGCTGCGTCCGTTACACTAATAATTTAAGGAGCGCCTCGGCGCTTAAACGAGTAAAAAGAGCATGTGAATAAAAGTTCCATTATTGTTTGCTCAAAATAAGGGTCAAATTTAGGCGTCAGGTTTTCAAGCACATAAACATTTGTGAAGAATTTAATATTTTAATGATTACTAAGACTGCGCACCAACCACTGTTATCATTATAAGAGGTTGGGGATTATATATTAGAATGTTAGGGTTTGTAATCCAAGTGAGTATATATACATTTTAAGACCTAACCAGGAACGACTGCGAAAAATGCAGCACAAGGTGCTCTGGTATAGGAATTGAACCTACGGCCCTGCGATTCCGGTGCAGCGCTCTAACCAACTGAGTTACAGAGCCTCTGTAGCTCAGTTGGTTAGAGCGCTGCACCGGAATCGCAGGGCCGTAGGTTCGATTCCTACCAGAGGACCTTGCGCTGCACTTTTCGCAGTCGTTCCTGGTTAGGTTGATCTTAAAATGTATATATACTCACTTGGCCGCATGGATTACAAACCCTAACATTCTAATATTAATTCCACCTTGGGGATTATATATACTGGTGAACGATATTGGCTTGAATGGCTTCATTATACCTTCTCATTGGCCTGTCGTCTATTTTTACCATAATTTATTGCTAGATGTCCAAGTATGTAATATGAGTGGATAAGATGATATATATCTTCACCTTAATCATAATTCCTCCTTGACCCTGTTTCAGCTCTATCCTGTTCCGCTATTAATTTATCACATTCTTATCTGAGTCATTATAGTCGTATATTGTTTCGCCGAGATCAAAGATAAAAATATTCGGGGCGTTTTGGAAAGATTTAGTGGGATTTGCTTTTGAATGAATGATTTTTTGACAGCATTCATGCGCATGTTTAGAAAGCAGTGAGCGCTAGCCATAGCAACAGGTTATAGTGCAACGCACATAGTTTTAATGATTTGCATGCGTTATTCAAACCTTTAAAAACGTATTGCACATGCATGTCTTTAACATATTTTGTAGCTTAGACACTGGTAGAAAACACAATATACTAGTTGGCCAATACGCGCTAAATTGAGAAATAAATTTGAAACATCAGCAAACTCGGAATTTGAGTTTTATTCAATTTTGGTCCGGGACGTAGCCATACCTGAAAAGGGGGGGGGGGGGCATGAGGCCATGCTAAAGGTATAGTAGTGGTTATATGTTTGCTGCAAAAGAGCTATATGCAGAGTTGGTGCCATTGTCGTATAGCCAGGGGGGGGGGGGTTATTGGTTAGAAAGAGCTTGGATGGTTGTAGGCACTAGACGAGGACCAACTACAAAATTTCCGAATTGTAGCTATCAAAAGTAAGAATTGCATGCTATACTTGATTTAGCTTTTCGAGGGTTACACAGTGAAACACAAAACACCATTGTTTGCCTATCCACAAGGGTATAGGCGTATTATAAAGAAAACCGAACGCAATTAGACTTTCTCACGCCGCCATTTTTGGGTGGCTTTTCAGCCGAATTCTACGATATAAGCCCACATAAC